GCAGGTCTCACCCCTCCTAACTCATTAGCATGTCACTGACCTATTGTCTGCTGGGATGCTCCAGTGGAGTGCAGGTCTCACCCCTCCTAACTCATTAGCATGTCACTGACCTATTGTCTGCTGGGATGCTCAAGTGGAGTGCAGGTCTCACCCCTCCTAACTCATTAGCATGTCACAGACCTATTGTCTGCTGGGATGCTCAAGTGGAGTGCAGGTCTCACCCCTCCTAACTCATTAGCATGTCACTGACCTATTGTCTGCTGGGATGCTCAAGTGGAGTGCAGGTCTCACCCCTCCTAACTCATTAGCATGTCACTGACCTATTGTCTGCTGGGATGCTCAAGTGGAGTGCAGGTCTCACCCTCCTAACTCATTAGCATGTCACTGACCTATTGTCTGCTGGGATGCTCAAGTGGAGTGCAGGTCTCACCCTCCTAACTCATTAGCATGTCACTGACCTATTGTCTGCTGGGATGCTCAAGTGGAGTGCAGGTCTCACCCCTCCTAACTCATTAGCATGTCACTGACCTATTGTCTGCTGGATGCTCAGTGGAGTGCAGTCTCACCCTCCTAACTCATTAGCATGTCACTGACCTATTGTCTGCTGGGATGCTCAAGTGGAGTGCAGGTCTCACCCCTCCTAACTCATTAGCATGTCACTGACCTATTGTCTGCTGGGATGCTCAGGTGGAGTGCAGGTCTCACCCCTCCTAACTCATTAGCATGTCACTGACCTATTGTCTGCTGGGATGCTCAAGTGGAGTGCAGGTCTCACCCCTCCTAACTCATTAGCATGTCACTGACCTATTGTCTGCTGGGATGCTCCATGGAGTGCAGGTCTCACCCCTCCTAATCATTAGCATGTCACAGACCTATTGTCTGCTGGGATGCTCCAGTGGAGTGCAGGTCTCACCCTCCTAACTCATTAGCATGTCACTGACCTATTGTCTGCTGCGATGCTCAAGTGGAGTGCAGGTCTCACCCTCCTAACTCATTAGCATGTCACTGACCTATTGTCTGCTGGGATGCTCCAGTGGAGTGCAGGTCTCACCCTCCTAACTCATTAGCATGTCACTGACCTATTGTCTGCTGGGATGCTCAAGTGGAGTGCAGGTCTCACCCTCCTAACTCATTAGCATGTCACTGACCTATTGTCTGCTGGGATGCTCAAGTGGAGTGCAGGTCTCACCCCTCCTAACTCATTAGCATGTCACTGACCTATTGTCTGCTGGGATGCTCAAGTGGAGTGCAGGTCTCACCCCTCCTAACTCATTAGCATGTCACTGACCTATTGTCTGCTGGGATGCTCCAGTGGAGTGCAGGTCTCACCCCTCCTAACTCATTAGCATGTCACAGACCTATTGTCTGCTGGGATGCTCCAGTGGAGTGCAGGTCTCACCCCTCCTAACTCATTAGCATGTCACTGACCTATTGTCTGCTGGGATGCTCAAGTGGAGTGCAGGTCTCACCCCTCCTAACTCATTAGCATGTCACTGACCTATTGTCTGCTGGGATGCTCAAGTGGAGTGCAGGTCTCACCCTCCTAACTCATTAGCATGTCACAGACCTATTGTCTGCTGGGATGCTCAAGTGGAGTGCAGGTCTCACCCCTCCTAACTCATTAGCATGTCACTGACCTATTGTCTGCTGGGATGCTCAAGTGGAGTGCAGGTCTCACCCCTCCTAACTCCTTAGCATGTCACTGACCTATTGTCTGCTGGGATGCTCCAGTGGAGTGCAGGTCTCACCCCTCCTAACTCATTAGCATGTCACTGACCTATTGTCTGCTGGGATGCTCCAGTGGAGTGCAGGTCTCACCCTCCTAACTCATTAGCATGTCACTGACCTATTGTCTGCTGGGATGCTCAAGTGGAGTGCAGGTCTCACCCCTCCTAACTCATTAGCATGTCACTGACCTATTGTCTGCTGGGATGCTCAAGTGGAGTGCAGGTCTCACCCCTCCTAACTCATTAGCATGTCACTGACCTTGTCCCAAGTTAGGGCGTTGTTTTTAGGATGTCGTCATAGATGCGAGGCAAAACAAATCTTAACCCTCCTCCTCTGTTAAGAGAAGGTTTTTGTTTCCTCACAAAAATGGCTTCTTTCACCCCTCTCTCAAACCAATTCTTCTCCCGAGCCAGAATTTTAACCTCTGTGTCATCCACCGTGTGGTTGGAGGCCTTGAGGTGGAGATGAACAGCCGACTGTGGCCCACTAGAGTTTTCTCTACGATGTTGGTAAAGTCGTTTCTGTAGAGTTTGTTTGGTTTCTCCAATATAGTGGTCAGTGCACTCCTCTTCACTACATTTAATTGAATACACCACATTGCTCTGTTTGTGTCTGGGTGTTTTGTCTTTGGGATGCACTAATTTCTGTCTTAACGTGTTGAAAGGTTTGAAATACACAGGGATTTTGTGTTGCCTAAAGATTCTTTGTAGTTTCTCTGAAACTCCCGCCACATACGGTAAGGACACCCTCTCCTCCTACTTTCTTCTGTCTGTTGGACTGTGTCTCTGGCCTTTCTCGTCCTTTGGGCTTTAGTAAAAGACCACTTGGGGTAGCCACATCTGGAAAGTGCTCTCTGAACATGTTTGGTTTCTCTGTTCTTTCCCTCCGAGCTAGTGGGGACCTGGTGGGCTCGGTGTTGAAGCGTTCTAATGACCCCGAGTTTGTGTTGTAGCGGATGGTTTGAGTCAAAGGCCAGGTACTGGTCAGTGTGAGTGGACTTTCTGAAGACCTCAGTCTCTAATTGTCCGTTCTCCAGTATGATGACCTTACAATCTAGAAAGGCGAGTTCACTCTCCTTAGCATCCTCGCGAGTGAAATTTATAAAAGGGTCCACCGAGTTAATGTGTGCTGAAAATGGTTCCACTTCCTGTTTCTTTAACTTAACCCATGTATCGTCTACATATCGAAACCAATGGCTTGGCGCTGTCCCTTGGTCTTGCCAAGCCCAGGGCTTGTTCCTCCAGTTTCTCCATATACAGATTGGCCCCTATAGGAGAGACTGGGGAGCCCATCGCACAGCCATGAATCTGTCTAAAGAAGGTGCCTCTAAATTGGAAATACGTGGTGTTAAGACACATTTCCAGTATTTCACAGATGTGGTCAGCTGTTAGTTTTGTTCTCTCCCCTAGTGTGGCGTCTTTCTGTAGGCTTTCTCTTACAGCCTCCACCGCCTCTGTAATAGGGACCGACGTAAAAAGTGATGTCACATCAAACGAGACCATTGTCTTTTACTAAAGCCCAAAGGACGAGAAAGGCCAGAGACACAGTCCAACAGACAGAAGAAAGTAGGAGGAGAGGGTGTCCTTACCGTATGTGGCGGGAGTTTCAGAGAAACTACAAAGAATCTTTAGGCAACACAAAATCCCTGTGTATTTCAAACCTTTCAACACGTTAAGACAGAAATTAGTGCATCCCAAAGACAAAACACCCAGACACAAACAGAGCAATGTGGTGTATTCAATTAAATGTAGTGAAGAGGAGTGCACTGACCACTATATTGGAGAAACCAAACAAACTCTACAGAAACGACTTTACCAACATCGTAGAGAAAACTCTAGTGGGCCACAGTCGGCTGTTCATCTCCACCTCAAGGCCTCCAACCACACGGTGGATGACACAGAGGTTAAAATTCTGGCTCGGGAGAAGAATTGGTTTGAGAGAGGAGTGAAAGAAGCCATTTTTGTGAGGAAACAAAAACCTTCTCTTAACAGAGGAGGAGGGTTAAGATTTGTTTTGCCTCGCATCTATGACGACATCCTAAAAACAACGCCCTAACTTGGGACAAGGTCAGTGACATGCTAATGAGTTAGGAGGGGTGAGACCTGCACTCCACTTGAGCATCCCTGCAGACAATAGGTCAGTGACATGCTAATGAGTTAGGAGGGGTGAGACCTGCACTCCACTTGAGCATCCCTACAGACAATAGGTCTGTGACATGCTAATGAGTTAGGAGGGTGAGACCTGCACTCCACTTGAGCATCCCAGCAGACAATAGGTCAGTGACATGCTAATGAGTTAGGAGGGTGAGACCTGCACTCCACTTGAGCATCCCAGCAGACAATAGGTCAGTGACATGCTAATGAGTTAGGAGGGGTGAAACCTGCACTCCACTGGAGCATCCCAGCAGACAATAGGTCAGTGACATGCTAATGAGTTAGGAGGGGTGAGACCTGCACTCCACTTGAGCATCCCAGCAGACAATAGGTCAGTGACATGCTAATGAGTTAGGAGGGGTGAGACCTGCACTCCACTTGAGCATCCCAGCAGACAATAGGTCAGTGACATGCTAATGAGTTAGGAGGGGTGAGACCTGCACTCCACTGGAGCATCCCAGCAGACAATAGGTCAGTGACATGCTAATGAGTTAGGAGGGGTGAGACCTGCACTCCACTTGAGCATCCCAGCAGACAATAGGTCAGTGACATGCTAATGAGTTAGGAGGGGTGAGACCTGCACTCCACTTGAGCATCCCAGCAGACAATAGGTCAGTGACATGCTAATGAGTTAGGAGGGTGAGACCTGCACTCCACTTGAGCATCCCAGCAGACAATAGGTCTGTGACATGCTAATGAGTTAGGAGGGGTGAGACCTGCACTCCACTTGAGCATCCCAGCAGACAATAGGTCAGTGACATGCTAATGAGTTAGGAGGGTGAGACCTGCACTCCACTTGAGCATCCCAGCAGACAATAGGTCAGTGACATGCTAATGAGTTAGGAGGGGTGAGACCTGCACTCCACTTGAGCATCCCAGCAGACAGTAGGTCAGTGACATGCTAATGAGTTAGGAGGGGTGAGACCTGCACTCCACTGGAGCATCCCAGCAGACAATAGGTCAGTGACATGCTAATGAGTTAGGAGGGGTGAGACCTGCACTCCACTTGAGCATCCCAGCAGACAATAGGTCAGTGACATGCTAATGAGTTAGGAGGGGTGAAACCTGCACTCCACTGGAGCATCCCAGCAGACAATAGGTCAGTGACATGCTAATGAGTTAGGAGGGGTGAGACCTGCACTCCACCTGAGCATCCCAGCAGACAATAGGTCAGTGACATGCTAATGAGTTAGGAGGGTGAGACCTGCACTCCACTTGAGCATCCCAGCAGACAATAGGTCTGTGACATGCTAATGAGTTAGGAGGGGTGAGACCTGCACTCCACTGGAGCATCCCAGCAGACAATAGGTCAGTGACATGCTAATGAGTTAGGAGGGTGAGACCTGCACTCCACTGGAGCATCCCAGCAGACAATAGGTCAGTGACATGCTAATGAGTTAGGAGGGGTGAGACCTGCACTCCACTTGAGCATCCCAGCAGACAATAGGTCAGTGACATGCTAATGAGTTAGGAGGGGTGAGACCTGCACTCCACTGGAGCATCCCAGCAGACAATAGGTCAGTGACATGCTAATGAGTTAGGAGGGTGAGACCTGCACTCCACTGGAGCATCCCAGCAGACAATAGGTCAGTGACATGCTAATGAGTTAGGAGGGGTGAGACCTGCACTCCACTTGAGCATCCCAGCAGACAATAGGTCAGTGACATGCTAATGAGTTAGGAGGGGTGAGACCTGCACTCCACCTGAGATCCCAGCAGACAATAGGTCTGTGACATGCTAATGAGTTAGGAGGGGTGAAACCTGCACTCCACTGGAGCATCCCAGCAGACAATAGGTCAGTGACATGCTAATGAGTTAGGAGGGGTGAGACCTGCACTCCACTGGAGCATCCCAGCAGACAATAGGTCTGTGACATGCTAATGAGTTAGGAGGGGTGAGACCTGCACTCCACTTGAGCATCCCAGCAGACAATAGGTCAGTGACATGCTAATGAGTTAGGAGGGGTGAGACCTGCACTCCACTGGAGCATCCCAGCAGACAATAGGTCAGTGACATGCTAATGAGTTAGGAGGGGTGAGACCTGCACTCCACTTGAGCATCCCAGCAGACAATAGGTCAGTGACATGCTAATGAGTTAGGAGGGGTGAGACCTGCACTCCACTTGAGCATCCCAGCAGACAATAGGTCAGTGACATGCTAATGAGTTAGGAGGGGTGAGACCTGCACTCCACTGGAGCATCCCAGCAGACAATAGGTCAGTGACATGCTAATGAGTTAGGAGGGTGAGACCTGCACTCCACTTGAGCATCCCAGCAGACAATAGGTCAGTGACATGCTAATGAGTTAGGAGGGTGAGACCTGCACTCCACTTGAGCATCCCAGCAGACAATAGGTCAGTGACATGCTAATGAGTTAGGAGGGGTGAGACCTGCACTCCACTTGAGCATCCCAGCAGACAATAGGTCAGTGACATGCTAATGAGTTAGGAGGGGTGAGACCTGCACTCCACTTGAGCATCCCAGCAGACAATAGGTCAGTGACATGCTAATGAGTTAGGAGGGTGAGACCTGCACTCCACTTGAGCATCCCAGCAGACAATAGGTCAGTGACATGCTAATGAGTTAGGAGGGGTGAGACCTGCACTCCACTTGAGCATCCCAGCAGACAATAGGTCAGTGACATGCTAATGAGTTAGGAGGGGTGAAACCTGCACTCCACTTGAGCATCCCAGCAGACAATAGGTCAGTGACATGCTAATGAGTTAGGAGGGGTGAGACCTGCACTCCACTGGAGCATCCCAGCAGACAATAGGTCAGTGACATGCTAATGAGTTAGGAGGGGTGAGACCTGCACTCCACTTGAGCATCCCAGCAGACAATAGGTCTGTGACATGCTAAGGAGTTAGGGTCGTTAGCCTCAGCAGGGTCGTTAGACCTGCTCCCTTCTACATCAAGCAGACCTTAGATTGTTTATGAGTTAGTATCAGGATTAGGCTGTGGCTAACCACACCCATAGGTTATAAATCTCCAACGCACGGTCCGAGAATTCATTCCCTGAAGAAGTCCCCAGGTTGAGGACGAAACGTCTGGAAAACTTGCTAAGAAGTACAGATGATGGTGAGAAACCTTCCTTTGCTTTGACTAATCCCTGTACGACTGAGGGCTTACACAAACTATATACATGTAGTGTATACTGTAGTACTACACGCCTTGATCAGTGGGGGCTTCAGGCAAAGTGGGGTTAAGTGTCTTGCACACAAAGGACACAAAGACAGCAGACATCAGTAGGTCTTATGGTGGGCTCAAACCCACAACCTTCAGGGCCAAAGGCTAATGCTGTCACCACAACATGTAGTATATTGTGTAATATTACCACACAATATATCTGTGTTACTGCACTATTTATATATGTAGTTTATTATCATAGACTGTATATATTAACGGACAGAGTCATGTCTATCTCCGCCGTTCTAACTAATGGGCCAAAAAATGTGCTCTACTGGAGCTATCCAAAATGGCCGCAATGGTCCCGCCCACAAGACAATTGTGAAAAAACACATCTGTGCGTCAGCTGCGAGAGCTCCATTCATTTGAACGAGAGACTTCTAAAGTCCACAGCGACTAAACTAGAGTGGACCAGAACACTCAGCATTGACACACATGTGGAACGGAGCTTTGGACCATATATGTTAGCATTGGCTAATTCTACTTCTGGGTCCACCCCCACAGGCCCGGGGTGGTACTGCAGCATGTCAGGGTCCACCCCCACAGGCCCGGGGTGGTACTGCAGCATGTCAGGGTCCACCCCCACAGGCCCGGGGTGGTACTGCAGCATGTCAGGGTCCACCCCCACAGGCCCGGGGTGGTACTGCAGCATGTCAGGGTCCACCCCCACAGGCCCGGGGTGGTACTGCAGCATGTCAGGGTCCACCCCCACAGGCCCGGGGTGGTACTGCAGCATGTCAGGGTCCACCCCCACAGGCCCGGGGTGGTACTGCAGCATGTCAGGGTCCACCCCCACAGGCCCGGGGTGGTACTGCAGCCTGTCAGGGTCCACCCCCACAGGCCCGGGGTGGTACTGCAGCATGTCAGGGTCCACCCCCACAGGCCCGGGGTGGTACTGCAGCATGTCAGGGTCCACCCCCACAGGCCCGGGGTGGTACTGCAGCATGTCAGGGTCCACCCCCACAGGCCCGGGGTGGTACTGCAGCATGTCAGGGTCCACCCCCACAGGCCCGGGGTGGTACTGCAGCCTGTCAGCGCACGTCATTTTGGACACTTTTGAGCCGGGACCCGCCCACACTGTGTATTGTGTAGTACAGTATACTGTGTGTCTCCTGCTGTATACTGTGTATTGTGTAGTACTAGTAGTACTAGTACAGTATACTGTGTGTCTCCTGCTGCAGTAGAGTCCGCTCTAACTCTCGGTTGGCCGAGCTCTAACCCTGTGCTCTGTAATAATCTGCTGTGTCCAGACTTGAGAGCTTTAGGATTCTATTAATATCTCTCAGTTCAACACATGGGTCTCAGGGAAAGTCCACCCAGGACCCAGGACCCAGGACCCAGGACCCATGATCCAGGACCCATGATCCAGGACCCATGATCCAGGACCCAGGACCCATGATCCAGGACCCAGGACCCATGATCCAGGACCCAGGACCCCCAGGACCCAGGACCCAGGACCCAGGACCCATGATCCAGGACCCAGGACCCAGGACCAGGACCCATGATCCAGGACCCAGGACCCAGGACCCAGGACCCAGGACCCATGATCCAGGACCCAGGACCCATGATCCAGGACCCAGGACCCAGGACCCAGGACCCAGGACCCATGATCCAGGACCCAGGACCCATGATCCAGGACCCAGGACCCATGATCCAGGACCCAGGACCCAGGACCCAGGACCAGACCCAGGACCCAGGACCCAGGACCCAGGACCAGGACCAGGACCCAGGACCCAGGATCCCATCCATCCAGGACCCATGATCCAGGACCCAGGCCCATGAGGACCCAGGACCCATGATCCAGGACCCAGGACCCATGATCCAGGACCCAGGACCCATGATCCAGGACCCAGGACCCAGGACCCAGGACCCAGGACCCAGGACCCATGATCCAGGACCCAGGACCCAGGACCCAGGACCCAGGACCCATGACCCAGGACCCAGGACCCATGATCCAGGACCCAGGACCCAGGACCCAGGACCCAGGACCCAGGACCCATGATCCAGGACCCAGGACCCAGGACCCAGGACCCAGGACCCATGATCCAGGACCCAGGACCCATGATCCAGGACCCAGGACCCATGATCCAGGACCCATGATCCAGGACCCAGGACCCATGACCCAGGACCCAGGACCCATGATCCAGGACCCATGATCCAGGACCCAGGACCCATGATCCAGGACCCATGATCCAGGACCCAGGACCCATGATCCAGGACCCAGGACCCATGATCCAGGACCCAGGACCCATGATCCAGGACCCAGGACCCAGGACCCAGGATCCAGGACCCAGGACCCAGGACCCAGGACCCATGATCCAGGACCCAGGACCCAGGACCCAGGACCCAGGACCCATGATCCAGGACCCAGGACCCATGATCCAGGACCCATGATCCAGGACCCAGGACCCAGGACCCAGGACCCATGATCCAGGACCCAGGACCCAGGAGCCAGGACCCATGATCCAGGACCCAGGATCCAGGACCCATGATCCAGGACCCAGGACAGACCATTTTGGCACGATCCCAGTGGTGAAATGAGATCAACTTTAGTGAATAAAGCTCTTATAATTATATACAGTGACAGTAGCTCAGTTGGTAGAGCATTGGCCTTAAGGCCAGAAGGTCGTGGGTTCAATTCCCACCTCTACACCTTCTCCACCGACTCCCACTGATGACTGCTGTCGTTGTGTCCTTGGGCAAGACACTTAACCTCACTTTGCCCAAAGCCCCCGCTGGAAGATCTCAGCTCCTGTGGACTCAGCACCTGCAGAGGGTCAGTGAGGGGCTGGTGCTCTGACTGCCACCCCCCTGACCCAGAAATGGATTAAAGGGTAGAAAATGGATGGATGGATAATTATATACATTCGTTCTGTTAGAAACATTGTGAGGAAGAACCCTGTCTTTGGGCTGAGAGCTGATTGGCTGAGAGCTGATTGGCTGAGAGCTGATTGGCTGAGAGCTGATTGGCTGAGAGCTGATTGGCTGAGTGAGGGTGGTCCTGTTCTGATCTTAACATGCAACATGTTTGCAACCAAACGTGTGAGTCCTGAGCATGAGGACTAGCAAGATGGCGCCGTGTCAGGGCGCCGCAGTGAACGCTCTGTGGCGCACAATCCTGTGTTTTGTTGTTTTTCGTCTGGGATTCACTTGCCACAGTGAAATATGATCGGCAAACACTTCTGCACATTCGGGATCACGCGGGTGACGGGTCACTCGTTTTACCTGAACTGAGGTGCACAAACTTCCTCGAGTGTCCCACTCGAGAGGCCCGTGGAGCACGGCAGGCGGGCCGCGGCGGTGGCCGCCAACAGAGCGAGGGGACTGGGCGTCTCCGGCGTTCTCTCCGCGGTGTGGAGCTGGGCACCTCGAGTCGGCGAAGGAGGCGCAGACACCGGGGAAGGCGAGGCGGTCTGCTCGTTCGTAGCCGCTCCTCCAGGACCCCTTTTTCTTCCATCTACCTGGCCAACGTACAGTCTCTGCCCAACAAGACGGACGAGCTCCTGTGTCGGGTCCAGAGCCAGCGCGAGGCCCGGGACTGTGTTCTGTCTCAGCGAGACGTGGCTCCACTCGAACGTCCCGGACTCTGCTGTTCAGCCCCCGGGATTCACCGCTCACCCACGGGCAAGGCCAGAGGCGGAGGTGTGTGCTTTTTAATTAATCAGCGCTGGTGCACGGACACTCGAGTCGTGAACCATACATGTACTGCCAATCTGGAATGCCTGGTCTTGAGCTGTCGCCCTTTTTATCTTCCGCGGGAGTTTGCTGTGATATTTTTATGTGCTGTTTACATTCACCCACGGGCGGATTACAAAGTAGCCCTACAGGATCTGAGCCAGATCCTTCACAAACATGAGTCTGCTCATCCTAACGCAGTCATCATTGTTGCTGGGGATTTAACAAATGTAATTTAAAGACTGTACTCCCGAACTTTTACCAACATGTGACTCAAGCTACAAGAGGAGCACATGTTCTGGATCACTGCTACAGTAACGTGAAGGGAGCTTACAGGTCCAGTCTCAGACCTCCTTTTGGAAAGTCTGACCACTCCTCTGTTCTCCTTCTTCCTTCGTATACTCAGAGGAGCAGGGAACATAAACCAACCTCTCGCACTGTGCAGTGTTGGTCTGAGGAGGCTAGCATGAAGCTACAAGGTTGTTTTGATGCTACGGACTGGTCTGTGTTTCAGTCAGAGGACGTCAATGAATTCTGTGACGCTGTGTCTGGATACATACGCTTCTGTATTGACGGCTGTGTCCCACAGAAGGTCATTAAAGAACATTTTAGTCAAAACCCTTGGATGAACGCGGAAGTGAAACTGAAACTTCATGAGCGTGCGTTGGCGTTTCAATCAAATGATACAGTTGCCTATAAGCTATCCTGTTACTCACGTTCTATTAAATCTGCAAAGCGCAGTTACGGGGACAGGTTAAAGAGTTATTTTGAGGAAGATGACCCTCGGCGCATGTGGAACGGTATTAAAGCCATCACATCGTGGAAACCTAGCGCTGGGAAAACTGCATCTGTCGGCCAAGCTCTGCCAAACGAGCGGAACACGTTCTACTGTCGCTTTGAATCCGCTGATGCCTGTCCTACTGTATTCCCTGAGTGTTTCAATCAAGGTACCTTCACCGTGACTCAGGAGGAAGTCAGGCGTGTCTTGTCCAGGACCACAGTCCAGAAAGCCCCAGGCCCGGACGGCATCCCTCCTCGTGTCCTGAAACTGTGCTCTGAGCAACTTGCTCCTGTGCTAACAGACATTTTCAACCTGTCGCTAAGGAACTGTACTGTGCCGAACTGCTTTAAAGAGTCGACCATCATTCCAGTTCCTAAGAAAACTCCTGTGACATGCCTGAATGACTACCGCCCTGTGGCTCTCACGTCTGTTCTTATGAAGACTTTTGAGCGGCTTGTGCTGGACTTCATTAAGAGCCAGATCCCTGTGAGTGTTGACCCGCTCCAGTTTGTTACAGACAGAACAGGAGTGTGGAGGATGCATCTCCTTTGCTCTGAACTCTGTCTACAGTCACTTGGACACTAGTAAATCTGTGGCCAGAATGCTTTTCATCGATTATAGCTCTGCTTTTAACTGCCTTGTCCCAGGTAAACTGATTGAAAAGCTCATGTCTCTGGGTTTAAGTGTTGCCATGTGTAAATGGATCTATAGCTTTTTAACTGACAGATCTCAGAGAGTGTTTTTCTGATGTTGTTTCTGTGAGCACTGGTTCTCCTCAGGGATGTATTTTGAGTCCTTTGCTTTTTACTTTGTACACTCACGATTGTGTGTCCTCCTCTGACTCAAACTTGATCATTAAATATGCTGATGACACCACCATCATCGGTCTCATCAGTGACACTGATGAATCCTCTTATAGAGCAGAGATACAAAATGTGGTTCAGTGGAGTCAAACTAACAACCTCCAGCTGAACGCATCCAAAACATGTGAGCTGGTCACGACTTCAGTCGCAATAGTTCTCATTTGCCTGTCGTAATCGACAACTCCCAGGTGCAGATCGTAGAGGAGCAAGTTTCTGGGTTTAACTGTCTAACCTGAAATGGGTTAAAAACACTGACCGAGTCGTTAAGAAAGCTCGTCAGCGTCTCTACTTTCTGCGTAAACTTAGAGAATTTACCACTAACTCTAAGATTGTGCTTAACTTTTATGGCTGCACCATTGAGAGTTTACTTGTTGGTTCTGTGTCTGTGTGGTTTGGAAACATCACAGATACAGAAAAGAGAGCTTTAAACAAGGTGCTCCGCTCTGCAAAGAGGACCGTGGGCTGTGAGCTTCCTGTTCTGGAGGTTCTTTATAAATCCACACTTTTAAACAAAGCTCTTAGGATTGTCAATGACTCTTCTGGCCACCCTGGGAAAGCCATGTTCCAGCTTCTTCCCTCTGGCAGAAGATATCGCTCTCTGAGATAGTAAGTAAGTAAGTAAGTAAGTAAGTTTTTATTTATATACCGCCTTTTCACTGCAGATCTGAGTCTCAAAGCGGTTTACAATTGTTAATTTTTGGGCATTTGTATCTCACTCCACACAGAGATGGGAGCGGGGCCAGTACAGGAGGCGCATGCCAGAACTATTGGACATATTTTTAGTGGTAGGGGAAACCGGAGTACCCGGAGGAAACCTACGCAGACACGGGGAGAACATGCAAACTCCACTCAGAAAGGCCCTGGTCCGACCGGGATTCGAACCCAGGACCTTCTTGCTGAGAGGCGAGAGTGCTATCCACTCAGCCACCGTGCCGCCCAGATGCAGGACATCTCGTTACGCTAACAGTTTTTATCCACAGGCTGTTATCAGTGTGAACAGAGCACTTTAATGATTTGCACTTGTTTTGAAACTGTTTTAGTCGATCGATTTCACAGTGACATTTGTTTACTGTTTTATTTGTTTTATTTTTGTCTTTTAATGTTGTTTTATGTCTGTATTTGTCTGTGCACACTGGAGACTTTTGCTAATGTATTCCAATGTGGTTTTTTTACTGCAAATGGCAAAATAAACTGAATCTGAATCTGAATCCCATCACAGTCCTTACCTGGCCCTGTACTGCTTAGCTGACAGCTTCTTTAAACTGCCACATGGTTTGAAGTCTGTCCATATTCTAAGTGTTGCAGAATCTGAATCTGTTTTTAATCTTAAAATCTGACTTTAGAGAGAGTTGAAGTGTGGTCAGACTGTTAAAGCCAAAGTCACATGTTTTTATCCAAACGTTGGTCACATGACGTTGGTCACATGACCACGCTTCAGGGATTACAGCGTCAGGTCTGGATTATGCTGAACACAGACATTCATCTTTTACTTTTGTTCATTCATTTATTATAATTATTCATCAAAAGTAAAATGTAAAGTTTCTGGATTCAGGGCCTTGTTCTGAGACTTTCCTGAAAAAGCATCTGAACGAAAAGTGAGCTCCTGCTGCTCTCTTATGCTATGCTAACACGATGCTAAAACGATGCTAGCACTATGCTAACGTAATGCTAACGCTGTCTGCTGTGGCTGTTTCAGGGAGAGCTTCGTGGTGTCCATTTGTCCAGAGACCAACGCCTTCGTCCAGTCCTTTCTGACCGGATCAGACAGAACCTTCCTGCTTCATGGTCCGGCTCAGCTCAAGACCGGACTCCAGACTCAAGAGCGCCACCTGTTCCTCTTCAGCGACGTCCTGGTCATCGCCAAAGCCAAGTGTGTGTCATTCATGTTAGCTCTGTGTTAACGGGCAATTTCACCACATTTAAAGGAGAAGTACCACATTTAAAGGAGAAGTACCACATTTAAAGGAGAAGTACCACATTTAAAGGAGAAGTACCACATTTAAAAGGAGAAGTACCACATTTAAAGGAGAAGTACCACATTTAAAGGAGAAGTACCACATTTAAAGGAGAAGTACCACATTTAAAGGAGAAGTACCACATTTAAAGGAGAAGTACCACATTTAAATGAGAAGTACCACATTTAAAGAAGTACCACATTTAAATGTGGTAAATTTAAATTTACCACATTTAAATCTAGTTTGTTTTTTCCCAAACTGAAAGTGAAACCTCTTCTGCGTTGGTCTTTTTAGCTCAAATGTAAATAAATAAATGTTTGTTAATCTGTGGTCTGAGCGGAGCCTGCAGGGCATCTGACGTCACACAGAAGGGCAGAGTGCAGATCGGCACGGCAAGACATGGTTTTAGTCGATAGTGAGATATGTCTGTAGATCCTCAGAGCAGTTCAAGCTGAAGGCCTGTGTGTGTCTGTTATATGTCTGTTATATGTCTGTAGATCCTCAGAGCAGTTCAAGCTGAAGGCCTGTGTGTGTCTGTTATATGTCTGTTATATGTCTGTAGATCCTCAGAGCAGTTCAAGCTGAAGGCCTGTGTGTGTCTGTTATATGTCTGTTATATGTCTGTAGATCCTCAGAGCAGTTCAAGCTGAAGGCCTGTGTGTGTCTGTTATATGTCTGTTATATGTCTGTAGATCCTCAGAGCAGTTCAAGCTGAAGGCCTGTGTGTGTCTGTTATATGTCTGTTATATGTCTGTAGATCCTCAGAGCAGTTCAAGCTGAAGGCCTGTGTGTGTCTGTTATATGTCTGTTATATGTCTGTAGATCCTCAGAGCAGTTCAAGCTGAAGGCCTGTGTGTGTCTGTTATATGTCTGTTATATGTCTGTAGATCCTCAGAGCAGTTCAAGCTGAAGGCCTGTGTGCGTCTGTTATATGTCTGTTATATGTCTGTAGATCCTCAGAGCAGTTCAAGCTGAAGGCCTGTGTGTGTCTGTTATATGTCTGTTATATGTCTGTAGATCCCCAGAGCAGTTCAAGCTGAAGGCCTGTGTGTGTCTGTTATATGTCTGTTATATGTCTGTAGATCCTCAGAGCAGTTCAAGCTGAAGGCCTGTGTGCGTCTGTTATATGTCTGTTATATGTCTGTAGATCCTCAGAGCAGTTCAAGCTGAAGGCCTGTGTGTGTCTGTTATATGTCTGTTATATGTCTGTAGATCCTCAGAGCAGTTCAAGCTGAAGGCCTGTGTGCGTCTGTTATATGTCTGTTATATGTCTGTAGATCCTCAGAGCAGTTCAAGCTGAAGGCCTGTGTGTGTCTGTTATATGTCTGTTATATGTCTGTAGATCCCCAGAGCAGTTCAAGCTGAAGGCCTGTGTGTGTCTGTTATATGTCTGTTATATGTCTGTAGATCCTCAGAGCAGTTCAAGCTGAAGGCCTGTGTGTGTCTGTTATATGTCTGTTATATGTCTGTAGATCCTCAGAGCAGTTCAAGCGAAGGCCTGTGTGTGTCTGTTATATGTCTGTTATATGTCTGTAGATCCTCAGAGCAGTTCAAGCTGAAGGCCTGTGTGTGTCTGTTATATGTCTGTTATATGTCTGTAGATCCTCAGAGCAGTTCAAGCTGAAGGCCTGTGTGTGTCTGTTATATGTCTGTTATATGTCTGTAGATCCTCAGAGCAGTTCAAGCTGAAGGCCTGTGTGCGTCTGTTATATGTCTGTTATATGTCTGTAGATCCTCAGAGCAGTTCAAGCTGAAGGCCTGTGTGCGTCTGTTATATGTCTGTTATATGTCTGTAGATCCTCAGAGCAGTTCAAGCTGAAGGCCTGTGTGTGTCTGTTATATGTCTGTTATATGTCTGTAGATCCCCAGAGCAGTTCAAGCTGAAGGCCTGTGTGTGTCTGTTATATGTCTGTTATATGTCTGTAGATCCTCAGAGCAGTTCAAGCTGAAGGCCTGTGTGTGTCTGTTATATGTCTGTTATATGTCTGTAGATCCTCAGAGCAGTTCAAGCTGAAGGCCTGTGTGTGTCTGTTATATGTCTGTTATATGTCTGTAGATCCTCAGAGCAGTTCAAGCTGAAGGCCTGTGTGCGTCTGTTATATGTCTGTTATATGTCTGTAGATCCTCAGAGCAGTTCAAGCTGAAGGCCTGTGTGCGTCTGTTATATGTCTGTTATATGTCTGTAGATCCTCAGAGCAGTTCAAGCTGAAGGCCTGTGTGTGTCTGTTATATGTCTGTTATATGTCTGTAGATCCCCAGAGCAGTTCAAGCTGAAGGCCTGTGTGTGTCTGTTATATGTCTGTTATATGTCTGTAGATCCTCAGAGCAGTTCAAGCTGAAGGCCTGTGTGTGTCTGTTATATGTCTGTTATATGTCTGTAGATCCTCAGAGCAGTTCAAGCTGAAGGCCTGTGTGTGTCTGTTATATGTCTGTTATATGTCTGTAGATCCTCAGAGCAGTTCAAGCTGAAGGCCTGTGTGTGTCTGTGCGAGGCCTGGACGGCTGGATGTCTGGAGGAGGTGTGTGAAGGAACCACGTGCCCAGAGAGGAGCTTTGTTCTGGGCTGGCCCACCTCCAACTGTGTGGCCGTGTTTGGGTGAGACACTAACACACGAGGAGGGGGATGAGAGGGTTAGGGGGGTGGGGGAGGTGAGAGGGTGAGTGAAGGATCATGGGTAATAACAGTGGCCCTGTCTGTCCTGCAGCTCTGTGGACCAGAAGGAGAGATGGCTGTCAATCATCAAAAGGTAAACATTGTGTGTTCCTTCTTGGAGCTGGTCATAAATGTGTGTTTGCTTCAGTCGGATAAAAGAGGAGAAGGACATGGAAGAACCCAAAACCATTCCTTTGAGAGTGTTTGGAAAAGGAATCAATACTTTTGCTGTAGTAAGTTTGAACTTTATGTTAAAAAGACATATTTCCATTTAAATAAAAACACATTTGTTTTTCTCAGACTAAAACACTTCCTGTCAGTAACTCGGACTCGGCCAATGAGGTGATCCGCCTCGCCCTGCAGCAGTTTGGGATCATCGTAAGTCCAGGCTGATGTTTTAGTTATACTAATACATGTTAATACATGTTAATACATGTTAATATATATATATATATATATAACTATATATATATTTATATATGTGTGTCCAGGGCCAGGTGAAGGACTACCAGCTCTGGGTGCTCTCGAAGCGGGACAACACTCCGTATCCTCTGATCGGTAAAAGCTTCGTTCATAATTTCATTATTTTAATTTAATTTGAAACGAGCAGTAACGAGCAGCAGCGTCTTCACAAACACTGCCTCCTTTATTTTACTAATCACATGAGGCTGAAGGAAAGGTCACAGTCTGTGTTTACATGGACCTGAAGCAGGCTGAAGCAGGCTGAGCAGACTGAAGCAGGCTGAAGCAGGCTGAAGCAGGCTGAAGCAGACTGAGCAGACTGAGCAGACTGAAGCAGGCTGAAGCAGACTGAAGCAGGCTGAAGCAGACTGAAGCAGACTGAAGCAGACTGAAGCAGACTGAAGCAGACTGAAGCAGGCTGAAGCAGACTGAAGCAGGCTGAAGCAGGCTGAAGCAGACTGAAGCAGGCTGAAGCAGGCTGAAGCAGGCTGAAGCAGACTGAAGCAGGCTGAAGCAGACTGAAGCAGGCTGAAGTAGGCTGAAGAAGGCTGAAGCAGGCTGAAGAAGGCTGAAGCAGACTGAAACAGACTGAAGCAGACTGAAGCAGACTCTACTGCTTAGAAACAGACCTAGAGTTTGTGTTTAGCTCAGTCCAGGTTCAGGACAGGACCAAAGGCTGAAGTGAGTTAGAGACTAGCGTGAGTTTGAAGGAACCAATCAGGAGTCAGCTTGATGTTTTTATGAATGAGGCGGGTCCATTACAGCTGTAGTTCCTGCTGCCGCCACAGGAGGTCAGTGTCTGTGTTTTTATGAATGAGGCGGGTCCATTACAGCTGTAGTTCCTGCTGCCGCCACAGGAGGTCGGTGTCTGTGTTTTTATGAATGAGGCGAGTCCATTACAGCTGTAGTTCCTGCTTCCGCCACAGGAGGTCAGTGTGTCACTGTGTCTCTGCAGGTCATGAGTTTCCCTTCAGTATCCAGAGGAATCACCTGCGACAGACCAGGCCAGACCAGACCAGGCCAGACCAGGAGCGGGACGTCTGTAAAGTCTGTCAGTTTATCCTCAAGCTGCGCCCGACGGGGATACAGGAGCCCACAGCTGCTACAGGTGCTACTGCTGCTACAGGTGTGGGACAGGTGCTACAGGTGTGGGACAGGTGCTACAGGTGTGCGACAGGTGCTACAGGTGGGACAGGTGCTATAGGTGTGCGACAGGTGCTACAGGTGTGGGACAGGTGCTACAGGTGTGCGACAGGTGCTACAGGTGGGACAGGTGCTACAGGTGTGCGACAGGTGCTACGGGGACAGGTGCATAGGTGTGCGACAGGTGCTACAGGTGTGGGACAGGTGCTACAGGTGTGGGACAGGTGCTACAGGTGTGCGACAGGTGCTACAGGTGGGACAGGTGCTATAGGTGTGCGACAGGTGCTACAGGTGTGGGACAGGTGCTACAGGTGTGCGACAGGTGCTACAGGTGTGGGACAGGTGCGACAGGTGCTACAGGTGTGGGACAGGTGCTACAGGTGTGCGACAGGTGCTACAGGTGTGGGACAGGTGCGACAGGTGCTACAGGTGTGGGACAGGTGCTAAAGGTGTGCGACAGGTGCTACAGGTGTTACAGGTGTGCGACAGGTGCTACAGGTGTTACAGGTGTGGGACAGGTGCTACAGGTGGGACAGGTTCTACAGGTGCTACAGGTGTGGGACAGGTGTTACAGGTGTTACAGGTGTGGGACAGGTGCTACAGGTGGGACAGGTTCTACAGGTGCTACAGGTGTGGGACAGGTGCTACAGGTGTGCGACAGGTGCTACAGGTGTTACAGGTGTGGGACAGGTGCTACAGGTGGGACAGGTTCTACAGGTGCTACAGGTGTGGGACAGGTGTTACAGGTGCTACAGGTGCAATAGATGTTACAGGTGCTACAAGTGTGCGACAGGTGCTACAGGATAAATACAGGATTTTCTTCTGTATAATGAGAGTTTGGTTTAACACAGAAGCTACAATTGAACAGTTTTGATCTAAAGTCTTTTCTTAAAAACAGATTTCCCGCAGAAATCGTTCAAACGGCGGCGTTCCCTGATGACCTGGTTCTGGAGAGGCCCCGTCCCCTTCACTGACCCCGCCCCCTTCACTGACCCCGCCCCCAGAGGCTGTTTGTTTGGACGACCACTCAGTAGCATCTGCATCGACAACACACTGCCTCAGACTGTCAGAGTGAGCAACACAACACACACACACACACATAACACACCTGTGAGGTCCCTGTGAGGTCCCTGTGATGTCCCTGTGAGGTCCCTGTGAGGCCCCTGTGAGGCCCCTGTGAGGTCCCTGTGAGGCCCCTGTGATGTCCCTGTGAGGCCCCTGTGAGGTCCCTGTGAGGCCCCTGTGAGGTCCCTGTGAGGCCCCTGTGATGTCCCTGTGATGTCCCTGTGAGGTCCCTGTGAGGCCCCTGTGATGTCCCTGTGAGGTCCCTGTGATGTCCCTGTGAGGTCCCTGTGAGGCCCCTGTGAGGCCCCTGTGAGGTCCCTGTGAGGTCCCTGTTAGGTCCCTGTGAGGCCCCTGTGAGGTCCCTGTGAGACAATACTAACGTGGGTCTGGTCCCAGGACATGCTGAGGTCCCTATACCATGAAGGGACCTGGACCAGGGGGATCTTCAGGCGCTCCGCTGGTGCTCGGGCCGTGAGGGAGCTGCGGGACGCTCTGGACTCTGGGGACTCTGTGCCCATGAGCAAGGCACACGTCTACATCGTGGCAGGGGTCTTCAAGGTACGGACTGATGATACTGATGATACAGATGAGACTGATGAGACTGATGATACAGATGAGACTGATGAGACTGATGAGACTGATGATACTGATGATACTGATGAGACTAATGAGACTGATGATACTGATGATACTGATGATGACAGATGATACTGATGATGACAGATGATACTGATGATGACAGATGATACTGATGATGACAGATGATACTGATGATGACTGATGATACTGATGATACTGATGATACTGATGAGACTGATGATACTGATGACTGATGATACTGATGAGACTGATGATACTGATAAGACTGATGAGACTGATGATACAGATGCAGACTGATGATACAGATGATACTGATGATACTGATGAGACTGATGAGACTGATGATACTGATGATACTGATAAGACTGATGAGACTGATGATACAGATGATACTGATGAGACTGATGAGACTGATGATACTGATGATACAGATGAGACTGATGATACTGATGATACAGATGAGACTGATGAGACTGATGATACTGATGATACTGATGATACTGATGAGACTGATGAGACTGATGAGACTGATGATACTGATGATACTGATGATACAGATGATACAGATGAGACTGATGAGACTGATGATACTGATGATACTGATGATACAGATGAGACTGATGAGACTGATGATACAGATGAGACTGATGAGACTGATGATACTGATGATACTGATGATACAGATGAGACTGATGATACTGATGATACAGATGAGACTGATGAGACTGATGATACTGATGAGACTGATGATACAGATGCAGACTGATGATACTGATGAGACTGATGATACTGATGATACAGATGCAGACTGATGATACAGATGATACTGATGAGACTGATGATACTGATGAGACTGATGATACTGATGAGACTGATGATACTGATGATACAGATGAGACTGATCAGACTGATGAAACTGATTATACTGATGATACAGATGCAGACTGATGATACTGATGATACTGATGAGACTGATGAGACTGATGAGACTGATGATACTGATGATACAGATGAGACTGATGATACTGATGATACAGATGAGACTGATGAGACTGATGATACTGATGATACAGATGAGACTGATGAGACTGATGATACTGATGATACAGATGAGACTGATGATACTGATGAGACTGATGATACTGATGATACAGATGCAGACTGATGATACAGATGATACTGATGAGACTGATGATACTGATGAGACTGATGATACTGATGAGACTGATGATACTGATGATACAGATGAGACTGATCAGACTGATGAAACTGATTATACTGATGATACAGATGCAGACTGATGATACTGATGATACTGATGAGACTGATGAGACTGATGAGACTGATGATACTGATGATACAGATGAGACTGATGATACTGATGATACAGATGAGACTGATGAGACTGATGATACTGATGAGACTGATGATACAGATGAGACTGATGATACAGATGAGACTGATGATACTGATGATACAGATGAGACTGATGATACTGATGAGAATGATGATACAGATGAGACTGATGATACTGATGATACAGATGAGACTGATGATACTGATGAGACAGATGATACTGATGAGACTGATGATACTGATGAGACTGATGAGACTGATGAGACTGATGAGACTGATGAGACTGATGATACTGATGAGACTGATGATACTGATGAGACTGATGAGACTGATGAGACTGATGATACTGATGATACTGATGAGACTGATGTACTGTAAGTCATTTAAGATAATAGACAGTAAAGTTTAGATAAGAAAAAAATAAGATAAACTCTGGGCTATAATTGCACTTGGTTCGGAGTATTTACAGATGTCTATATTATACATTAGCAGCGGAGAATATGAGCAGAATAAACCATCCATCCATCCATCTTCTTCCCTTTAATCCATTTCTGGGTCAGGGGGGTGGCAGTCAGAGATGCCACCCAAGTCTCATAGCACCAGCCCCTCACTGACCCTCTGCAGGTGGTGAGTCCACAGGAGAACGGCTGCTCTCTGAGTGTGAGCATAGCCTTGATCTTTCAGTGGGAGCTTTTGGGCAAAGTGGTGTTAAGTGTCTTGCCCAAGGACACAACGACAGCAGTCATCAGTGGGAGTCGGTGGAGAAGGTGTAGAGGTGGGAATTGAACCCACGACCTTCTGGCCTTAAGGCCAATGCTCTACCAACTGAGCTACTGTCGCCCCCAGCAGCAGAATAAACATCAGAAATAATATCAACAGGTAAAGTGACGGTGAAAGGCAGAAATATCAGATATGTAGTACTGTAGTAGTACTGATAACAGTAAATATCAGATATGTAGTACTGTAGTAGTACTGATAACAGTAAATATCAGATATGTAATACTGCAGTAGTACTGATAACAGTAAATATCAGATATGTAATACTGCAGTAGTACTGATAACAGTAAATATCAGATATGTAGTAATGCAGTAGTACTGATAACAGTAAATATCAGATATGTAATACTGCAGTAGTACTGATAACAGTAAATATCAGATATGTAGTAATGCAGTAGTACTGATAACAGTAAATATCAGATATGTAGTATTGTAGTAGTACTGATAACAGGTAAAGTGACTAGTGACAAAGTTACTAGTGAATTATCAGTGACACTTGTGCAGACTCAGCAGTTCCTGTTACACATTCTCGTTGTACAGTCTGACAGCAGCAGGAAGGAAAGACCTACGGAACCTCTCCTTCACACAGCGAGGGTGAATTAGTCTGTCACTGAAGCTGCTCTCCAGAGCAGAGAGAGTGTCCTGCAGGGGGCGACAGTCATGGTCCAGCATAAATACTGACATGTATAAAGAGTCTGTCCCAGTCTGTCTGTGTCATAATCCATGATTTAAACTCATTATTTAATCCATGATTTAATCCATTATTTAATCTCATGATTTAATCCATGATTTAATCTCATGATTTAATCCATGATTTAATTCATGATTTAATCTCATGATTTAATCCATTGAATTAATCTCATGATTTAATCTCATGATTTAATCCATGATTTAATTCATGATTTAATCTCATGATTTAATCTATGATTTAATCTCATGATTTAATCCATGATTTAATCTCATGATTTAATCTATGATTTAATCTCATGATTTAATCCCATTATCTTCACAGATCATACACATGCACCAACTTCAAATCAACACACGTTAACATTATACCTAACAGCCTGTTGTGTTGTTGTGTTGTCAGGAGTTCCTGCGGTGTGTACCTAACAACCTGTTGTGTTGTTGTGTTGTCAGGAGTTCCTGCGGTGTGTACCTAACAACCTGTTGTGTTGTCAGGAGTTTCTGCGGTGTGTACCTAACAGCCTGTTGTGTTGTTGTGTTGTCAGGAGTTCCTGCGGTGTGTACCTAACAGCCTGTTGTGTTGTGAGTTGTATGAAGAGTGGCTCGAGGCTTTGGAGGAAGACGATGATGAAGAGGAGCAGCTCCGCGACGTTCAGAGGTTTCTTTAAAAACAAAACACTTTGAATCAAAGTCACAGATGTTTTTAACAGAAGTTATATATATTATATAATGTATATATTATATATTATTAGTGTATAAAATTATTAGAGTATATATATTTGATATTATTAGTGTATATATATTAAATAATATTAGAGTATATATATTTTATATGAATGCCTTTTCCAGCTGTAGAACCTAAAATACTGACGTAGATAAACGTTTGTCCGGACAGAGTTCTGCTCAGACTTCCCAAAGAGAATGTGACTCTATTGCGCCACCTGCTGGCGGTTCTTCACTGTATCCAAGGAAACGCCTCAGAAAACCTGATGACCAGTTTGAACCTGTCCATCTGCATCGCCCCCAGTCTGCTGTGGCCCCCGGGGGCCCTGCACCGCCCCGAGGTGGAGGGAGAGGGGACCAGGAAGGTACAGTGCTTCACAATCAGGGGTTCACAGTCAGGGGTTCACAGTCAGGGGTTCACAGTCAGGGGTTCACAATCAGGGGTTCACAGTCAGGGGTTCAGAGTCAGGGGTTCACAGTCAGTGCTTCACAATCAGGGGTTCACAGTCAGGGGTTCAGAGTCAGGGGTTCACAGTCAGTGCTTCACAATCAGGGGTTCACAGTCAGGGGTTCACAGTCAGTGCTTCACAATCAGGGGTTCACAGTCAGGGGTTCACAGTCAGGGGTTCACAATCAGGGGTTCACAGTCAGGGGTTCACAGTCAGTGCTTCACAATCAGGGGTTCACAGTCAGGGGTTCAGAGTCAGGGGTTCACAGTCAGGGGTTCACAGTCAGGGGTTCACAGTCAGGGGTTCACAGTCAGGGGTTCACAGTCAGTGCTTCACAATCAGGGGTTCACAGTCAGGGGTTCAGAGTCAGGGGTTCACAGTCAGGGGTTCAGAGTCAGGGGTTCAGAGTCAGGGGTTCAGAGTCAGGGGTTCACAGTCAGGGGTTCACAGTCAGGGGTTCACAGTCAGGGGTTCACAGTCAGGGGTTCACAGTCAGTGCTTCACAATCATCAATCAGGGGTTCACAGTCAGGGGTTCACAGTCAGGGGTTCACAGTCAGTGCTTCACAATCAGGGGTTCACAGTCAGGGGTTCAGAGTCAGGGTTCAAGTCAGGGGTTCACAGTCAGGGGTTCAGAGTCAGGGGTTCACAGTCAGGGGTTCACAGTCAGGGGTTCACAATCAGGGGTTCACAGTCAGGGGTTCACAGTCAGGGGTTCACAGTCAGGGGTTTCACAATCAGGGGTTCACAATCAGGGGTTCACTATCAGGGGTTCACAGTCAGGGGTTCACAGTCAGGGGTTCACAGTCAGGGGTTCACAATCAGGGGTTCACAATCAGGGGTTCACAGTCAGGGGTTCAGAGACATGTTTAAAAACATGGTTATTTACATATGACGTAGAGAATGAGAATGTATACTTCTGTCTCTGTATCCATCTGCTGGGCTTGTCTCTGTAGTATCTGCTCTCTCTGGTGGTTCGCAGATAACGGCTAACAGCTAACGGCTAACAGCTAGCATGCTGAAGCAGAAAAGGTTAGAAGAGGATTTACATCAGTCTTGCTCAGTTCAAAACAATCAGAGACATATTTGTACAAATCAAATCAAAGTTCTTTCTCTTTTATAAGGTCCTTATGATACATATATACATACATGTACATATATATATATATATATATATATAATTATTAAGCCAAGTAATTGACCAGACTGGCTATGGATACCGCCTCAGGAACGGAGCAAAGATCAGTCACCTCCTCTACATGGATGACATCAAGCTGTACGCCAAGAGCGAGAGAGACATCAACTCTCTGATCCAAACAACCAGGATCTACAGCCATGACATCGGGATGTCATTCGGGCTCGAGAAATGTAGCAGGATGGTGACTCGGAGAGGCAAGGTAGTCCACACAGAAGGGATCTCACTCCCAGAGGGAACAATAGCAGACGTTGAGGACAGTTACAAGTATCTCGGTATACCACAGGCAAATGGCAACCTCGAACAGGTGACGAGGAAAGCGGCAACTGCCAAATACCTCCAGCGAGTAAGGCAGGTCCTAAGAAGCCGGCTCAATGGCAAGAACAAGGCCCGGGCAATTAACAGCTACGCCCTGCCAGTGATCAGATACCCTGCAGGAATAATCAGGTGGCCAAAGGAAGAGATTGAGACCACGGATGTTAAAACTCGAAAGCTCCTTACCATGCATGGCGGGTTCCATCCCAAATCCAGCACCCTGAGACTGTACGTAAGCCGTAAAGAAGGAGGCCGAGGACTAGTGAGTGTGAGAGCCACTGTCCAGGACGAAACATCCAAACTCCATAACTACATCATGGAGAAGGCCAAAACGGATGACGTACTCAGTGAATGTCTCAGGCAGTGGCGAGATGAGGAGGTGCTGGAGGAGAGCCCATCATGGGAGAACAAGCCCCTACACGGCATGTACCACCGGAGCATAACAGAAGTGGCTGATCTCAAGAAGTCCTACCAATGGCTAGAAAGGGCTGGCCTACAGGACAGCACAGAGGCACTCATCATGGCTGCACAGGAACAGGCACTGAGCACCAGAGCGATAGAGGCCCAGATATACCACACCAGACAAGACCCAAGGTCTCGGTTGTGCAAAGAGGCACCTGAGACGATCCAACACATAACTGCAGGGTGCAAGATGCTGCAGGGAAGGCCTACATGGAACGCCATAACCAAGTGGCTGGCATAGTGTACAGAAACATCTGTGCAGAGTATGGGCTGGAAACCCCAAGGTCTAAGTGGGAAACTCCTCCAAAGGTGGTGGAGAATGAGCATGCGAAGATCCTGTGGGACTTCCAGATACAGACCGACCGAATGGTAATGGCAAACCAACCTGACATCGTGGTGGTGGACAAAGGGCAGAGGACAGCCGTGGTGGTGGACAAAGGGCAGAGGACAGCCGTGGTGGTAGACAAAGGGCAGAGGACAGCCGTGGTGGTGGACAAAGGGCAGAGGACAGCCGTGGTGGTGGACAAAGGGCAGAGGACAGCCGTGGTGGTGGACAAAGGGCAGAGGACAGCCGTGGTGGTGGACAAAGGGCAGAGGACAGCCGTGGTGGTGGACAAAGGGCAGAGGACAGCCGTGGTGGTGGACAAAGGGCAGAGGACAGCCGTGGTGGTGGACAAAGGGCAGAGGACAGCCGTGGTGGTGGACAAAGGGCAGAGGACAGCCGTGGTGGTGGACAAAGGGCAGAGGACAGCCGTGGTGGTGGACAAAGGGCAGAGGACAGCCGTGGTGGTAGACAAAGGGCAGAGGACAGCCGTGGTGGTGGACAAAGGGCAGAGGACAGCCGTGGTGGTGGACAAAGGGCAGAGGACAGCCGTGGTGGTGGACAAAGGGCAGAGGACAGCCGTGGTGGTGGACAAAGGGCAGAGGACAGCCGTGGTGGTGGACAAAGGGCAGAGGACAGCCGTGGTGGTGGACAAAGGGCAGAGGACAGCCGTGGTGGTGGACGTGACAATTCCAAGCGATGTTAACATCCGGAAAAAAGAACATGAAAAGCTTGAGAAATACCAAGGTCTCAGAGAGGAGCTGGAGAGGGCCTGGAGGGTAAAGGTCACAGTAGTGAGAGGGCCTGGAGGGTAAAGGTCACAGTAGTGAGAGGGCCTGGAGGGTAAAGGTCACAGTAGTGCCCGTGGTGATCGGTGCACTCGGGGCAGTGACCCCGAAGCTAGAAGAGGTTACAGCGGATCCCTGGAACAACCTCGGACATCTGGGTCCAGAAATGTGCAGTGCTAGGAACAGCAAAGATACTGCGCAGAACCCTCAGGCTCCCAGGCCTCTGGTAGAGGACCCGAGCTTAGAGAGGGATAACCGCCCACGGAGGGCCAAAGGTGAGTGGACAATTTGATATATATATGTATACATATACATATATATATATATATATATATATATATATACATATATATATATATACATATACATATATATATACACATATATATATACATATATATATACACACAACACACATCTGAGAGTCTCAGGTGTGTGTTGTGTGTCTCAGGTGTGTCTCAGATGTGTGTTGTGTGTCTCAGGTGTGTGTCGTGTGTCTCAGATGTGTGTTGTGTGTCTCAGGTGTGTGTCGTGTGTCTCAGATGTGTGTTGTGTGTCTCAGGTGTGTGAGTTGGTGAAGTTCATGATCGATCAGACTCAGAGGATGTTTGAGGACGACTGTAGTGCTCTGTTTGGAGGCCCCCCACGGAGCCAGAGCCCTGAGGACCTGAGCACAGGTACAACATATATGGATCTCACAATGTCACATCATTAGTATATATACTAATGATTATATATATATTATATATATATATATATATATATATATATATATATATATATATATATATATATATATATTCTCTCATTAAGAATGTACTCTCTCATTAAGCGTGTACTCTCTCATTAAGAGTGTACTCTCTCATTAAGCATGTACTCTCTCATTAAGCATGTACTCTCTCATTAAGCATGTACTCTCTCATTAAGAGTGTACTCTCTCATTCGCGTCAGAACCTCATCTTTCTGAAGTGCTCGGTGTTCTGTTCTTCAGAGCCTCTGACCGACTCGTCCTACGACAGTCTGGAAAATGAACTTGACGACATCAGCGGCTCTTCCAGTTTCCTCCGGCCGCTCCAGGGCAGCCTCGACTCCATCCTCACCTTCAGCGACTACGACCACAAAAACCACCCGGAAACCCCACAGAACCTGCCCATCGTTACCAGACACTACCACATCGAGAAGCTAGGGGGCGACAGCGTGATCTACAGCTCCAAACAGGACTTCAAACACATGGATTCTCCTCCGTCTCTGAGCTGCAGACATCGGCCCCGGAGGAGGTCGGAGCCTGCGCTCACGTACATCAGGAAGTTACAGCCTCATCATCCCAGTCCAGGCCATGACGAGCAGCCAAACAGCCAATCACATTTGAGAGATGAGTCCAGGAGGCGGGACGTGGGCTTTGGGATGAAGTTTTTAGCCCTCGAAGAAAGCTCCTCAAGTTTATCGTCCACTCCAAACTCTCCAGCACAAAACTACTCGTCCATAGACTCGCTGGACTCGCTGGACTCGCTGGACTCGCTGGACGGTGAGAAACGGCCGCCGCTCAGAACCTTTGTCACAGACCAGATTCCAGTGACGGTCATCGCGACGCCAGAAGAAGACAGCGACGCCAACTCTCCACCGAAGGAGCTGGGGGCGGCCAAGAGCAGCGGGAATCTGCATCCAAACTCCTGGTTCAAGAAGGACTGGAGACTGACGCTGAGCCACAGAGACGGTGTGAAGAAGAAGAGCGCGGTGAGAAATCATTCTTTACTTACTTTGGCTCCGCAGACGCTTTTATCCAGATTTAAGTAAATGTCTTAGAACCAGGTTTTCCAACGGTCCTGACTTCAAGGACTGGGACCATAGTCTAAGTCTGGTTCAATGTCCTTCTTTACAGCGTAACGTGATCTTAACCTAAACATTTCATGATTAACCATTTGGGAAAGTGGGATTAACCGTAAACCTTCAGCTCAGTGTATGTCATGGTTAAAGTCTAAATACTCTAAATACTCACATGTTCTGTCAGTGCTTTAGTGAGAACACAGGGCCATCTAGTGGAGAGAGTGAAGGTTGCATCCTGTACATGTTTATTCCTGATGATAATAGACCAGAAGTACCTCTGATCCTGACGTGTTGTTACGGTCCTGATGTGTTGTTACGGTCCTGATGTGTTGTTACGGTCCTGATGTGTTGTTACGGTCCTGATGTGTTGTTACGGTCCTGATGTGTTGTTACGGTCCTGATGTGTTGTTATGGTCCTGATGTGTTGTTACTGTTACGGTCCAGATGTGTTGTTACGGTCCTGATGTGTTGTTATGGTCCTGATCTGTTGTTACGGTCCTGATGTGTTGTTACGGTCCTGATGTGTTGTTACGGTCCTGATGTGTTGTTACGGTCCTGATGTGTTGTTACGGTCCTGATGTGTTGTTACGGTCCTGATGTGTTGTTACGGTCCTGATGTGTTGTTACTGTTACGGTCCTGATGTGTTGTTATGGTCCTGATGTGTTGTTACGGTCCTGATGTGTTGTTACTGTTACAGTCCTGATGTGTTGTTACGGTCCTGATGTGTTGTTATGGTCCTGATGTGTTGTTACGGTCCTGATGTGTTGTTACTGTTACAGTCCTGATGTGTTGTTATGGTCCTGATGTGTTGTTACGGTCCTGATGTGTTGTTATGGTCCTGATGTGTTATTACGGTCCTGATGTGTTGTTACTGTTACAGTCCTGATGTGTTGTTATGGTCCTGATGTGTTGTTATGGTCCTGATGTGTTGTTACGGTCCTGATGTGTGTTGTTATGGTCCTGATGTGTTGTTACGGTCCTGATGTGTTGTTACTGTTACAGTCCTGATGTGTTGTTATGGTCCTGATGTGTTGTTATGGTCCTGATGTGTTGTTACGGTCCTGATGTGTTGTTACGGTCCTGATGTGTTGTTACGGTCCTGATGTGTTGTTATGGTCCTGATGTGTTGTTACGGTCCTGATGTGTTGTTACGGTCCTGATGTGTTGTTACGGTCCTGATGTGTTGTTACTGTTACGGTCCTGATGTGTTGTTATGGTCCTGATGTGTTGTTACGGTCCTGATGTGTTGTTACTGTTACAGTCCTGATGTGTTGTTACGGTCCTGATGTGTTGTTATGGTCCTGATGTGTTGTTACGGTCCTGATGTGTTGTTACTGTTACAGTCCTGATGTGTTGTTATGGTCCTGATGTGTTGTTACGGTCCTGATGTGTTGTTATGGTCCTGATGTGTTATTACGGTCCTGATGTGTTGTTACTGTTACAGTCCTGATGTGTTGTTATGGTCCTGATGTGTTGTTATGGTCCTGATGTGTTGTTACGGTCCTGATGTGTTGTTATGGTCCTGATGTGTTGTTACGGTCCTGATGTGTTGTTACTGTTACAGTCCTGATGTGTTGTTACGGTCCTGATGTGTTGTTATGGTCCTGATGTGTTGTTACGGTCCTGATGTGTTGTTACTGTTACAGTCCTGATGTGTTGTTATGGTCCTGATGTGTTGTTACGGTCCTGATGTGTTGTTATGGTCCTGATGTGTTGTTACGGTCCTGATGTGTTGTTACTGTTACAGTCCTGATGTGTTGTTACGGTCCTGATGTGTTGTTATGGTCCTGATGTGTTGTTACGGTCCTGATGTGTTGTTACTGTTACAGTCCTGATGTGTTGTTATGGTCCTGATGTGTTGTTATGGTCCTGATGTGTTGTTACGGTCCTGACGTGTTGTTATGATCCTGACGTGTTGTTACGGTCCTGATGTGTTGTTAAGGTCCTGATGTGTTGTTATGGTCCTGATGTGTTGTTACGGTCCTGATGTGTTGTTATGGTCCTGATGTGTTGTTACGGTCCTGATGTGTTGTTACGGTCCTGATGTGTTGTTACGGTCCTGATGTGTTGTTATGGTCCTGATGTGTTGTTACGGTCCTGATGTGTTGTTACGGTCCTGATGTGTTGTTACGGTCCTGATGTGTTGTTATGGTCCTGATGTGTTGTTATGGTCCTGATGTGTTGTTATGGTCCTGATGTGTTGTTACGGTCCTGATCTGTTGTTACGGTCCTGATGTGTTGTTATGGTCCTGACGTGTTGTTATGATCCTGACGTGTTGTTATGGTCCTGACGTGTTGTTACGGTCCTGATGTGTTGTTACGGTCCTGATGTGTTGTTATGGTCCTGATATGTTGTTACGGTCCTGATGTGTTGTTACGGTCCTGATGTGTTGTTACGGTCCTGATGTGTTGTTACGGTCCTGATGTGTTGTTACGGTCCTGATGTGTTGTTATGGTCCTGATGTGTTGTTACGGTCCTGATGTGTTGTTACGGTCCTGATGTGTTGTTACTGTTACAGTCCTGATGTGTTGTTATGGTCTTGATGTGTTGTTATGGTCCTGATGTGTTGTTACGGTCCTGATGTGTTGTTATGGTCCTGATGTGTTGTTACTGTTACGGTCCTGATGTGTTGTTACGGTCCAGATGTGTTGTTATGGTCCTGATCTGTTGTTACGGTCCTGATGTGTTGTTACGGTCCTGATGTGTTGTTACGGTCCAGATGTGTTGTTATGGTCCTGATGTGTTGTTACGGTCCTGATGTGTTGTTATGGTCCTGATGTGTTGTTACGGTCCTGATGTGTTGTTATGGTCCTGATGTGTTGTTACGGTCCTGATGTGTTGTTATGGTCCTGATGTGTTGTTACGGTCCTGATCTGTTGTTACGGTCCTGATGTGTTGTTATGATCCTGACGTGTTGTTACGGTCCTGATGTGTTGTTACGGTCCTGATGTGTTGTTATGGTCCTGATCTGTTGTTACGGTCCTGATGTGTTGTTATGATCCTGACGTGTTGTTACGGTCCTGATGTGTTGTTACGGTCCTGATGTGTTGTTATGGTCCTGATGTGTTGTTATGATCCTGACGTGTTGTTACGGTCCTGATGTGTTGTTATGGTCCTGATGTGTTGTTACGGTCCTGACGTGTTGTTATGGTCCTGATGTGTGTTGTTGATGTGTTGTTCGTCCTGATGTGTTGTTTGTTAGTCCTGATGTGTTGTTATGGTCCTGATGTGTTGTTATGTTGTTATGTCTGACTGTTACGGTCCTGATGTGTTGTTATGGTCCTGATGTGTTGTTATGGTCCTGACGTGTTGTTATGTCCTGATGTGTTGTTATGGTCCTGATGTGTTGTTACGGTCCTGATGTGTTGTTATGTTACAGTCCTGATGTGTTGTTATGGTCCTGATGTGTTGTTATGGTCCTGATGTGTTGTTACGGTCCTGATGTGTTGTTACTGTTACAGTCCTGATGTGTTGTTATGGTCCTGATGTGTTGTTATGGTCCTGATGTGTTGTTATGGTCCTGATGTGTTGTTACGGTCCTGATGTGTTGTTACGGTCCTGATGTGTTGTTATGGTCCTGATGTGTTGTTATGGTCCTGATGTGTTGTTACGGTCCTGACGTGTTGTTATGGTCCTGATGTGTTGTTACGGTCCTGACGTGTTGTTATGGTCCTGATGTGTTGTTATGGTCCTGATGTGTTGTTACGGTCCTGATGTGTTGTTACTGGTCCTGATGTGTTGTTATGGTCCTGATGTGTTGTTATGGTCCTGATGTGTTGTTATGGTCCTGATGTGTTGTTACGGTCCTGATGTGTTGTTACGGTCCTGATGTGTTGTTATGGTCCTCATGTGTTGTTATGGTCCTGATGTGTTGTTATGGTCCTGATGTGTTGTTACGGTCCTGATGTGTTGTTACTGTTACAGTCCTGATGTGTTGTTATGGTCCTGATGTGTTGTTATGGTCCTGATGTGTTGTTACGGTCCTGACGTGTTGTTATGATCCTGACGTGTTGTTACGGTCCTGATGTGTTGTTATGGTCCTGATGTGTTGTTACGGTCCTGATGTGTTGTTACGGTCCTGATGTGTTGTTACGGTCCTGATCTGTTGTTACGGTCCTGATGTGTTGTTATGGTCCTGACGTGTTGTTATGATCCTGACGTGTTGTTATGGTCCTGATGTGTTGTTATGGTCCTGATGTGTTGTTACGGTCCTGATGTGTTGTTATGGTCCTGATGTGTTGTTACGGTCCTGATGTGTTGTTACGGTCCTGATGTGTTGTTACGGTCCTGATGTGTTGTTACGGTCCTGATGTGTTGTTACGGTCCTGATGTGTTGTTACGGTCCTGATCTGTTGTTACGGTCCTGATGTGTTGTTACGGTCCTGATGTGTTGTTACGGTCCTGATGTGTTGTTACGGTCCTGATGTGTTGTTACGGTCCTGATGTGTTGTTATGGTCCTGATGTGTTGTTACGGTCCTGATGTGTTGTTATGGTCCTGATGTGTTGTTACGGTCCTGATGTGTTGTTACTGTTACAGTCCTGATGTGTTGTTATGGTCTTGATGTGTTGTTATGGTCCTGATGTGTTGTTACGGTCCTGATGTGTTGTTATGGTCCTGATGTGTTGTTACTGTTACGGTCCTGATGTGTTGTTATGGTCCTGATGTGTTGTTACTGTTACGGTCCTGATGTGTTGTTACGGTCCAGATGTGTTGTTATGGTCCTGATCTGTTGTTACGGTCCTGATGTGTTGTTACGGTCCTGATGTGTTGTTACGGTCCAGATGTGTTGTTATGGTCCTGATGTGTTGTTACGGTCCTGATGTGTTGTTATGGTCCTGATGTGTTGTTACGGTCCTGATGTGTTGTTATGGTCCTGATCTGTTGTTACGGTCCTGATGTGTTGTTATGGTCCTGATGTGTTGTTACGGTCCTGATGTGTTGTTACTGTTACGGTCCAGATGTGTTGTTATGGTCCTGATCTGTTGTTACGGTCCTGATGTGTTGTTATGATCCTGACGTGTTGTTACGGTCCTGATGTGTTGTTACGGTCCTGATGTGTTGTTACGGTCCTGATGTGTTGTTATGGTCCTGATCTGTTGTTACGGTCCTGATGTGTTGTTATGATCCTGACGTGTTGTTACGGTCCTGATGTGTTGTTACGGTCCTGATGTGTTGTTATGGTCCTGATGTGTTGTTATGATCCTGACGTGTTGTTACGGTCCTGATGTGTTGTTATGGTCCTGATGTGTTGTTACGGTCCTGACGTGTTGTTATGGTCCTGATGTGTTGTTATGGTCCTGATGTGTTGTTACGGTCCTGATGTGTTGTTACTGTTACAGTCCTGATGTGTTGTTACGGTCCTGATGTGTTGTTATGGTCCTGATGTGTTGTTACGGTCCTGATCTGTTGTTACGGTCCTGATGTGTTGTTATGGTCCTGATGTGTTGTTACGGTCCTGATGTGTTGTTACGGTCCTGACGTGTTGTTATGATCCTGACGTGTTGTTACGGTCCTGATGTGTTGTTACGGTCCTGATGTGTTGTTACGGTCCTGATCTGTTGTTACGGTCCTGATGTGTTGTTACGGTCCTGATGTGTTGTTACGGTCCTGATCTGTTGTTACGGTCCTGATGTGTTGTTATGGTCCTGACGTGTTGTTATGATCCTGACGTGTTGTTATGGTCCTGATGTGTTGTTACGGTCCTGATGTGTTGTTACGGTCCTGATCTGTTGTTATGGTCCTGATGTGTTGTTACGGTCCTGATCTGTTGTTACGGTCCTGATCTGTTGTTACGGTCCTGATGTGTTGTTACGGTCCTGATGTGTTGTTACGGTCCTGATGTGTTGTTACGGTCCTGACGTGTTGTTATGGTCCTGATGTGTTGTTATGGTCCTGATGTGTTGTTATGGTCCTGATGTGTTGTTATGATCCTGACGTGTTGTTACGGTCCTGATGTGTTGTTATGGTCCTGATGTGTTGTTACGGTCCTGACGTGTTGTTATGGTCCTGATGTGTTGTTATGGTCCTGATGTGTTGTTACGGTCCTGATGTGTTGTTACTGTTACAGTCCTGATGTGTTGTTACGGTCCTGATGTGTTGTTATGGTCCTGATGTGTTGTTACGGTCCTGATCTGTTGTTACGGTCCTGATGTGTTGTTATGGTCCTGATGTGTTGTTACGGTCCTGATGTGTTGTTACGGTCCTGACGTGTTGTTATGATCCTGACGTGTTGTTACGGTCCTGATGTGTTGTTACGGTCCTGATGTGTTGTTACGGTCCTGATCTGTTGTTACGGTCCTGATGTGTTGTTACGGTCCTGATGTGTTGTTACGGTCCTGATCTGTTGTTAAGGTCCTGATGTGTTGTTATGGTCCTGACGTGTTGTTATGATCCTGACGTGTTGTTATGGTCCTGATGTGTTGTTACGGTCCTGATGTGTTGTTACGGTCCTGATCTGTTGTTATGGTCCTGATGTGTTGTTACGGTCCTGATCTGTTGTTACGGTCCTGATCTGTTGTTACGGTCCTGATGTGTTGTTACGGTCCTGATGTGTTGTTACGGTCCTGATCTGTTGTTATGGTCCTGACGTGTTGTTATGGTCCTGACGTGTTGTTATGGTCCTGACGTGTTGTTATGGTCCTGACATGTGGTCCTGACGTGTTGTTATGATCCTGACGTGTTGTTATGGTCCTGACGTGTTGTTATGGTCCTGACGTGTTGTTATGGTCCTGACGTGTTGTTATGGTCCTGACGTGTTGTTATGGTCCTGACGTGTTGTTATGGTCCTGACATGTGGTCCTGACGTGTTGTTATGGTCCTGATGTGTTGTTACGGTCCTGATGTGTTGTTACTGTTACGGTCCTGATGTGTTGTTATGGTCCTGATGTGTTGTTACGGTCCTGATGTGTTGTTATGGTCCTGATGTGTTGTTATGGTCCTGATGTGTTGTTATGGTCCTGATGTGTTGTTATGGTCCTGATGTGTTGTTACGGTCCTGATGTGTTGTTATGGTCCTGATGTGTTGTTATGGTCCTGATGTGTTGTTACGGTCCTGATGTGTTGTTATGGTCCTGATGTGTTGTTATGGTCCTGATGTGTTGTTACGGTCCTGACGTGTTGTTATGGTCCTGATGTGTTGTTATGGTCCTGATGTGTTGTTATGGTCCTGATGTGTTGTTACGGTCCTGATGTGTTGTTACTGTTACAGTCCTGATGTGTTGTTATGGTCCTGATGTGTTGTTATGGTCCTGATGTGTTGTTACGGTCCTGACGTGTTGTTATGATCCTGACGTGTTGTTACGGTCCTGATGTGTTGTTATGGTCCTGATCTGTTGTTACGGTCCTGATGTGTTGTTACGGTCCTGATGTGTTGTTACGGTCCTGATCTGTTGTTACGGTCCTGATGTGTTGTTATGGTCCTGACGTGTTGTTATGATCCTGACGTGTTGTTATGGTCCTGACGTGTTGTTATGGTCCTGAGTGTTGTTATGGTCCTGACGTGTTGTTATGGTCCTGACGTGTTGTTATGGTCCTGACGTGTTGTTATGGTCCTGACGTGTTGTTATGGTCCTGACGTGTTGTTATGGTCCTGACGTGTTGTTATGGTCCTGACGTGTTGTTATGGTCCTGACGTGTTGTTATGGTCCTGATGTGTTGTTATGGTCCTGAGTGTTGTTAGGTCCTGAGTGTTGTTACGGTCCTGATGTGTTGTTTACGGTCCTGATGTGTTGTTATGGTCCTGATGTGTTGTTACGGTCCTGATGTGTTGTTATGGTCCTGATGTGTTGTTATGGTCCTGATGTGTTGTTATGGTCCTGATGTGTTGTTATGGTCCTGATGTGTTGTTATGGTCCTGATGTGTTGTTAGGTCCTGATGTGTTTTTAGGTCCTGATGTGTTGTTAGGTCCTGATGTGTTGTTACGGTCCTGATGTGTTGTTATGGTCCTGATGTGTGTTATGTTACGGTCCTGATGTGTTGGTCCTGATGTGTTGTTACGGTCCTGATGTGTTGTTATGGTCCTGATGTGTTGTTACGGTCCTGATGTGTTGTTACGGTCCTGATGTGTTGTTATGGTCCTGATGTGTTGTTATGGTCCTGATGTGTTGTTACGGTCCTGATGTGTTGTTATGGTCCTGATGTGTTGTTATGGTCCTGATGTGTTGTTATGGTCCTTATCTTCTCCTTCAGAACTCGGGGGCTGCAGAGAAATCCAAACGGGTCCAGAGCCGAGCGTTCTGTAGAGGATCCAGAGAGCAGTCTGCAGAGGAGCAGAGACACTACGGTCCCACGGGAGGTCCCACAGGAGGTCCCACAGGAGGTCCCACGGGAGGTCCCACGGGAGGTCCCACGGGAGGTCCCACGGGAGGTCCCACGGGTCCAGCTCTGTCCCTGTTCAAGAGACACCAGGCCACGGACCCACAGGGTGAGAGGAGACTGCAATCTACTACTATTACTACTGCTACTGCTACTACTAGTGCTACTACTACTACTGCTACTACTACTACTGCTACTACTACTACTACTACTGCTGCTACTGCTACTACTACTGCTACTACTACTACTGCTACTACTACTACTGCTACTACTACTACTACTACTGCTACTACTGCTACTACTACTACTGCTATTACTACTACTACTACCGCTACTACTACTGCTACTACTGCTACTACTACTACTGCTACTACTACTACTGCTACTGCTGCTACTGCTGCTACTGCTGCTACTGCTGCTACTACTGCTACTACTACTACTACTACTACTACTACTAATCAATCAATCAATCAAAGTTTATTTGTAGAGCGCCTTTCATACACAGGGCAACACAAAGCGCTTCACAGTCCACATCACAAATCATCACATAAAACAAACACCAGAATCACAATTAAAACATTAAAATCACACAAAAGATTAAAACACAATTAAAACATTAAAATCACACAAAAGAATAAAACCATTAAAACTTTCAAAATTACACAAGAGATTTAAAAAAATAAATAAATGACAGCAGTGCATTAAAAATGGAGATAAAATCCTTCAGTTGTATGCACAGGCAAACAGAACAGTCTTTAACCTGGATTTGAACATTGACAGAGTAGACGCCTCCCTCACATTTTCAGGGAGATTGTTCCAGATCTTAGCTGCATGGATCTGAAACGCAGCCTCCCCATGTTTGGTTCTCACTCTGGGCACCAGCAGGAGGCCAGTCCCTGTGCTCCTCAGAGTCCGGGCTGGTTCATATGACACCAACATGTCACTAATGTATTCTGGTGCAAGGCCATGGAGAGACTTGTACACAAGCAGACTTGTGACACAAGACTTGTACACTACTGCTGCTACTGCTACTGCTACTACTACTACTACTACTACTACTACTACTACTACTGCTACTACTGCTGCTACTACTACTACTACTACTACTGCTACATGTAGTGACATGTTTCTGTGCAGTCCCTCGCCTGTCTCAGAGACGTGGCTCTGAGCCGAGCTCCTTCCTCTTGGACAGAGTCTGCAGTCTCCGGAGACAGCGTCTTCCCAGCGACCCGGGCCTCAGAGTGTCCGAGGTGGACGTCCCAAATGTCCAGGAGCCTCGCTTCTGTCTGTCTCCCTACACCACCAAAACTGTGAAGGAATACTTCTCCTCACACCCGCGCAGCAACCCCCACAGCAGCCAGCAGGTGGCGCTAGCCCTGGTGGAGAGTCAGCGCCAGTGGAAACGCCGCTGCAGCGATCCCCAGGCACCAGCAGACCTGCAGAGCCTCCTGCTGGAGGAGGGCTCGCTCCTGTTGGCCGAGGAGTCGTACGTTTAACGGCACCGTCCGTCAGTGACCAGCAGGAGGCAGAACATTTACATATATTTATATATTTATACATTTGAGATCAATGTTTAATGTTAGAGAAGAACAGATTTTTAAAGTAACTGCTCTGACCTCATCAGTATCTGTTTGATGCTGTTGTAAACACTGCACTGGAACATCCCGCTGGAGAAGTTTAAAGATTAAACGTTTGAACAGAACTGTCTGATCTATGTCATGGTCACCTCTTTACTTAATTACTTAATTACTGATTTATTCACTGATTTACTGATTCACTGATTCACTGATTCACTGATTCACGTCTGAACCTGCTGATGCCTCTCACCTGAAGCCAACGTTCCCACGCTTCACAACTCACCATCGTCTGAATTATAAAAATGTATTTATCATGACGTCACTTTAAGGGTAGGATCCTGGAAATAGTCAAATGTTTATGAAGTATTTATAAAAACAGATTCTGTAAAGAATGTAAATACATTAGAATGCTTTATACAGATAATAAAATATAAATATGACATTGTCCTGGAGCAGCTCCTCAGACTCAACAGTGACAATATTAATATAATAGTTATTATAATCATATTAATATCATGATTATAATAATCATAATATAATTAGAATTAATCATGTTACTATACAAATTATTACAATTAGTCATATTAATATAATTATGATTAGTCATTAATATAATAATTATTATAATTAGTTGTATTAGTATAACAGTTGTTGTGCAGTTATTTAAAAATGTTTTTGAATTACTCTTGGATTATTTATTAGTTGTTTAGTGGTGGATTCTGGACCAACACACACTGAGGTTTCAGACGTGGAACTGTTTTTAAAGTTTGTCTCCAGCCTGAAAAAACTAAAATGCACTGAAGTTTTAGATTTTAGTCAAAGACAGATCAGTCTTTGACTAAAATCAGTGTTAGCTTCAGTGTTAGCTTCAGTGTTAGCTTCAGTGTTAGCTTCAGTGTTAGCTTCATCTTTAGCTTCAGTGTTAGCTTCATCTTTAGCTTCAGTGTTAGCTTCAGTGTTAGCTTCAGTGTTAGCTTCAGTGTTAGCTTCATCTTTAGCTTCAGTGTTAGCTTCAGTGTTAGCTTCAGTGTTAGCTTCAGTGTTAGCTTCAGTGTTAGCTTCATCTTTAGCTTCAGTGTTAGCTTCATCTTTAGCTTCAGTGTTAGCTTCAGTGTTAGCTTCATCTTTAGCTTCAGTGTTAGCTTCATCTTTAGCTTCAGTGTTAGCTTCAGTGTTAGCTTCAGTGTTAGCTTCATCTTTAGCTTCAGTGTTAGCTTCATCTTTAGCTTCAGTGTTAGCTTCATCTTTAGCTTCAGTGTTAGCTTCAGTGTTAGCTTCATCTTTAGCTTCAGTGTTAGCTTCATCTTTAGCTTCAGTGTTAGCTTCATCTTTAGCTTCAGTGTTAGCTTCAGTGTTAGCTTCAGTGTTAGCTTCAGTGTTAGCTTCAGTGTTAGCTTCAGTGTTAGCTTCAGTGTTAGCTTCATCTTTAGCTTCAGTGTTAGCTTCATCTTTAGCTTCAGTGTTAGCTTCAGTGTTAGCTTCATCTTTAGCTTCAGTGTTAGCTTCATCTTTAGCTTCAGTGTTAGCTTCATCTTTAGCTTCAGTGTTAGCTTCAGTGTTAGCTTCAGTGTTAGCTTCAGTGTTAGCTTCAGTGTTAGCTTCAGTGTTAGCTTCATCTTTAGCTTCAGTGTTAGCTTCATCTTTAGCTTCAGTGTTAGCTTCAGTGTTAGCTTCAGTGTTAGCTTCAGTGTTAGCTTCAGTGTTAGCTTCAGTGTTAGCTTCAGTGTTAGCTTCAGTGTTAGCTTCAGTGTTAGCTTCAGTGTTAGCTTCATCTTTAGCTTCATCTTTAGCTTCAGTGTTAGCTTCATCTTTAGCTTCAGTGTTAGCTTCATCTTTAGCTTCAGTGTTAGCTTCAGTGTTAGCTTCAGTGTTAGCTTCAGTGTTAGCTTCAGTGTTAGCTTCAGTGTTAGCTTCAGTGTTAGCTTCAGTGTTAGCTTCAGTGTTAGCTTCAGTGTTAGCTTCAGTGTTAGCTTCAGTGTTAGCTTAGGTGAATAAATGAAAATCATTTAATAAAAGTTTATCTTCAAACTGAGCCTTTCTTTCTTCATGTCATGGATCTATTTCAAATAATCCCGCACTTCACTGCAGGATTAAAACATAAAACATGCAAGATTTAAAAACTGTGAAAATCCACACAGCTGTTTCTTATTTACATACACTAACAGACACACAGTTAGACACACAGACACAGACACACAGTCACAGACACACAGTCACAGACACACAGTCACAGACACACAGTCACAGACACACAGTCACAGACACACAGTCACAGACACACAGACACAGACACACAGGTCACAGACACAGACACACAGTCACAGACACACAGTCACAGACACACAGTTACAGACACACAGGTCACAGACACACAGTTACAGACACACAGTCACAGACACACAGTCACAGACACACAGACACAGACACACAGTCACAGACACACAGTCACAGACACACAGTTACAGACACACAGGTCACAGACACACAGTTACAGACACACAGTCACAGACACACAGGTCACAGACACACAGTCACAGACACACAGACACACAGTCACAGACACACAGACACAGACACACAGACACAGACACACAGACACACAGACACAGACACACAGTCACAGACACACAGACACACAGTCACAGACACACAGACACAGACACACAGACACAGACACACAGTCACAGACACACAGTTACAGACACACAGTTACAGACACACAGGTCACAGACACACAGTTACAGACACACAGTTACAGACACACAGTCACAGACACACAGGTCACAGACACACAGTTACAGACACACAGTTACAGACACACAGACACAGACACACAGTCACAGACACACAGTCACAGACACACAGGTCACAGACACACAGTCACAGACACACAGACACAGACACACAGTCACAGACACACAGACACAGACACACAGTCACAGACACACAGACACAGACACACAGTCACAGACACACAGACACAGACACACAGACACAGACACACAGACGCAGACACACAGTCACAGACACACAGTCACAGACACACAGGTCACAGACACACAGTCACAGACACACAGACACAGACACACAGTCACAGACACACAGTCACAGACACACAGTCACAGACACACAGACACACACACACAGACACACAGACACAGACACACAGACACAGACACACAGACACAGACACACAGTCACAGACACACAGACACAGACACACAGTCACAGACACACAGTCACAGACACACAGGTCACAGACACACAGTCACAGACACACAGACACAGACACACAGTCACAGACACACAGACACAGACACACAGTCACAGACACACAGACACAGACACACAGTCACAGACACACAGACACACAGACACAGACACACAGTCACAGACACACAGTCACAGACACACAGGTCACAGACACACAGTCACAGACACACAGACACAGACACACAGACACACAGTCACAGACACACAGACACAGACACACAGTCACAGACACACAGACACACAGGTCACAGACACACAGTCACAGACACACAGACACAGACACACAGACACAGACACACAGTCACAGACACACAGACACAGACACACAGTCACAGACACACAGTCACAGACACACAGTCACAGACACACAGTCACAGACACACAGACACACAGGTCACAGACACACAGTCACAGACACACAGTCACAGACACACAGTCACAGACACACAGACACACAGGTCACAGACACACAGTCACAGACACACAGTCACAGACACACAGTCACAGACACACAGTCACAGACACACAGACACAGACACACAGTCACAGACACACAGACACAGACACACAGTCACAGACACACAGACACAGACACACAGTCACAGACACACAGTCACAGACACACAGTCACAGACACACAGTCACAGACACACAGACACACAGGTCACAGACACACAGTCACAGACACACAGTCACAGACACACAGTCACAGACACACAGACACACAGGTCACAGACACACAGTCACAGACACACAGTCACAGACACACAGTCACAGACACACAGTCACAGACACACAGTCACAGACACACAGTTACAGACACAGTTACAGACACACAGTCACAGACACACAGTCACAGACACACAGTTACAGACACAGTCACAGACACACAGTCACAGACACACAGTCACAGACACACAGTCACAGACACACAGTCACAGACACACAGTCACAGACACACAGACACAGACACACAGTTACAGACACAGTTACAGACACACAGGTCACAGACACACAGTCACAGACACAGGTCACAGACACACAGTTACAGACACACTGTCACAGACACACAGTCACAGACACACAGTCACAGACACAGGTCACAGTTACAGACACACAGTCACACAGTTACAGTCACAGACACACAGTTACAGACACACAGTCACACAGTTACAGACACACAGGTCACAGTCACACAGTTACAGACACAGTCACAGACACAGTCACACAGTTACAGACACACAGTCACACACACACAGTTACAGACACACAGTCACACACACAAAGTTACAGACACAGTCACAGACACAGGTCACAGACACACAGGTCACAAACACACAGTCACAGACACACAGTTACAGACACAGGTCACAGACACAGTCACAGACACACAGGTCACAGACACACAGGTAACAGACACAGTCACAGACACACAGGTCACAGACACACAGGTCACAGTCACACAGTCACAGACACAGACACACAGTTACAGACACACAGTCACACAGTTACAGACACACAGTCACAGACACACAGTCACAGACACACAGGTCACAGACACACAGGTCACAGACACACAGGTCACAGACACACAGGTCACAGACACACAGTTACAGACACACAGTCACAGACACACAGGTCACAGA